CATTGCTGTGAGCATGGTTAGCCAGTTTATGCATGCTCCTAGAACTTCCCACTTAGAGGCAGTTATGAGAATCCTGAGATACCTGAAGTCTTCTCCTGGGAAGGGTCTCTATTTCTCAAAACATGACCATCTTAGTGTGGAGGCATTTACTGATGCAGATTGGGTTGGATCAGTCACTGATAGACGATCAACTTCCAGATACTGCACATTTGTTGGTGGCAACCTAGTCACATGGCGAAGTAAGAAACAGAATGTAGTTGCTAGATCTAGTGCTAAGGCAGAATTCAAGTCTATAGCTCAAGATGTGTGTGAGTTGCTATGGATTAAATTATTGTTAGGTGATTTAGGGATCCATCGGACCGACTCCATGAGACTATACTGTGATAACAAGGCAGCAATCAACATAGCTCATAATCCAGTTCAACATGATAGAACTAAGCATGTGGAGATTGATAGGCACTTCATCAAGGAAAAACTCACTAATGGTACCATATATATTCCATTTGTGAAGACTAGGGACCAACTAGCGGATGTTCTCACCAAGAGATTAGGGAGCAAACCATTTCATGGCATTCTCAACAAGCTAGGCATAAGAGATATTTTTGCACCAGCTTGAGGGAGAGTGTTAGAATAGGGAATAATAATTAATATTAGTTGCATTTTATTCTAATTTTACTTTCTTGATTGATGTAATGGGCTGACTCATAAATTATGCCTTATGGCACTCCTGTAATTACTTATTATTATCACTACAAAAGGGGATGAGGTCTAACTCAATCCCTAACTCTTTCTCTTCTCTAAACCTACAAGCTTAAGCCAAATAATGGCACTCCCTTGTTTCATCAAAAATCCTTTCTTCTAAGTTTTCTCTTGACTATACACAAGTCTTTCAAAAATTTAGCACATGACGAGATTTGGTTTATCGCATCCAACAAGGGTATGTAGATTTTGACTTGTTTAAAGAGTACAAAATTTTCTGCATTTTGGTTCAATTTCTGAGGAGGCTGCAACCTTTGAGGAAAAGTAGCAGGAATTGGACATCTCATTTCTTCACTTAGCTCGGGCTTGTCAAGGTCATTGGCACTATATGATTTTGAAACATTCTTAGGCTTTGGGGCCTTCATAGGTATGGTTTTATCACTAACTTTTCCATTGGGAAGAGTAGTAACTCATTTGACATGCTCAAGCTAAGTGTCAAAAGAAAAAGAATCACTCACACCATATTGACCTTATGGGTTGGGTAAAGACAGAGCCAGAAATCTACCATTTTCTTGAATGCCCAATGAAGAGGTCAATTTGGTGAGAGTGTTCTTAATATCATTGATAGCCTAAGATGTCTGATTATAAATTACTGTCTGGCCTTGCATGAATTGTTGCAACGTGTCCTCAAGGGTCTACCAAGGTGGAGGGGCATAGGAAACAAAATTAGAAGGCCCTTGAGAAGGTGAGAGTGTTGCAGTATTATCATTCCTCCAACTAAAACTTAAGTGATTTCTCCATCCTGGATTGTAAGTCTCAATATAGGGGGATGAAGTAGGCTTTTTAGAAGTGTTTATGGCATTTGCTTGATCATGCAACACTTCTTTGAAAACTGGAATAGTTGGATACTTATGTGTTGGGTGGCCCATGATTTCACATATTCCACAAACATTTTCTGTTTTAGCCACAATTGTGATTTCAATCATTTCATTAACTTTCCTGAGTTCCATGGCCTCTAAAATTCTGTTCAAAGTAGCTAATCTTGCACTTAAATCATCATGACACTATGAATCTTGTTGAGTTATTGGTTTTTTTTTGTGGAAGTTTGACTCCTCAAATGCATCAATTTGTAGAGATATGTGTAACGGTGAATTTTTGAACAAATATCCTGATGAGACTTTTGCATATTTTGACCTATTAGCTGAGAAAAATTCATGATTTGCCTTCTCAAAGAATTTGTTATGTGTATTAGGAAAAAATTCTCTAAAAAGTCAATTTGCATCTCTTGGCAAGTGCTTATTGATCTAGATCTCAATGAGTTTAACCATGTTTTCGCCTTTTCTTTAAGAGAAAAGGGAAATAGTTTCAGCCTTTTCGTCTCCTCACTACAGGTTTGGTCAAGAAAAGTAGCAGAAATTTTGTCAAGTACTTTTATGTGTAAGTTAGGGATTTCAGATTCAAGTCCATGTAATCTAGAAAGTAATGCAATCATACCCGGTTTAAAATTAAAATTACTTGCATTTATAGAAAAATTAATACAAGCGGGAGCACTACTCCTTGTGGATGCAAATAACCACACAATGTTCGAACAGGTTGGGCCACTTGAATTTGATTTTCCTCATTATTATTATCATCATTATTTATCATGATGTCAAATGTGTGAGGGTATGCAAGTAAATCAAATTCAGATAAAAAAATATTATCAAACAACATATCTTAATCAGAATCAATACTAACCAAACGACCACAATAACAAATACACATGCAACATAAATTCTTTTTTTTTTTTTTAAATGAAACTAAATGTGACCAAAAAAAAATTTAACAAGCAATGATATACCTGGGGATCAACAAGCAGTGCTTAGATAATTTCTTCTATGTTTTTTCTTTTGCACGGCTACCGAAACGGAGACCACAAGGTAGACCACCTTTTGATTTTTTATTTTTTTTTAATAAAAAAAATATAAATCTTACTTCATCAATAAATAAATTAATAAAAGGAGAGTGGAAAGAGTTTACCAAAATTGTGAGAGATCGCGATGCAAACTTCCTCGGTACTTTTTAAATATGGTGTTGGGATTTGAGAAGCTATATTTTGGTTGGGACTCCTTCTCGAGGCATATCTAATATGTGGTGGGCAATGGTGAGCACGTGAAATTTTGAAATCACATTTGGTGTGGGTAGGAGGTTCTCAAGTCAGCCTTCCTGATATTGGTCATATTGCCTCAAATAGGGAAGTGGCTGTTAATGACTATCTTCAGGTTGACGGTGATGGAATTTTCTGGAATATTGGTCTTAAAAGAGATTTGATTGAATAGAGGTAGGAAAGATGGTAGAGCTTCTTGCCTCTAGAGTGCCTTTATGCTTTTCCTCACATAGGGGATATTGGGGATGCTATCACATGGTTGAACTCCAAAAATGGCAGTTTTGCTTTTATGAGGTATTGTTAGGGAATGGAAGGAGATCCTTTCCATGGAGAGAGGTGTAGGAGACCAACCAAGGCCGCCCCTTCAAGGTGGCCTTTTTTGTGAGGAAGGCGTCACATGGGAAGATTTTGACCATAGATAAAAAAGAGACAATTAATATTAATTGGTTGTAAACAAACTATTTCTAGACCAAAGAGGAAGCTCTTATCTATTGTTTACAATTGGTTCTCAGGTGTGGTTGAGCCCTCGGACTAATTTTTGGTTTTTGTAGAAACTTCAAATAGGTTTTTCATTTATAGTTGATTTTTAGTTGTTTGAGGCTTTCCTTTGTATACGGGCTGCACCCCCTTGGTGCCTATTTTTATAATATACACAGCTGTAAAAGCGGTATTCGAATAGTGAATTAAAATGGTCTTGTATTGAATCGCGAATCGAATCGAATCATGAATTGTAAAGATTCTCAGTCACTTTTTCTAAATTACTTAGAATAATATATCTACACACTTAAATGTTAAATATATCTTATTGACACTTGAATCAATGAAAATGTTGTTTTGAATGATAATCATGTGGTCTAATAGATAAGAAGTTAACATGGATTCTCATGTAAGATCACCATCTTATATTTTTCCTTTTAAGATATTTCTTATCATCCATTCTTAATAAGGCAAGTAAAAAAAGACAAACTCTCAATTTTCAAGTAACAATAACTTCACAACAATGTTAATATTTGGGCAATAAGCATACATATAATAAGAAAGAATTAATTGGAATCCTTTATTTTAAGATTTAAAAACACTTTAAAAGTATGTATGCTTATTGTTCAAAAAGTTTATTAAAAAAAAAACTTGTGGAACCATTAGGTTTAGTTGAGCTCACCCATGTAAATATTGAAGTATATTTATTTCAATAAAATAGCAATAGCTATTTCATGGTGCAAATTACTTTAACCTTATCTTTAGAAGATATGTTATGAATCTATGATTTTTTTTAAGGAACAAAATGAGAAGGCTAAAAATATGTTAGGTCTAACTGAATCTGATTAGATCGTATTAAAAACTATCTTATCACCAAAATAACAACGAATCATGCATATATATTGGTTATTTTCGTATTAAACATTATTAAAAGTAGTATTATGTCATTTTCACTAAAAAGAGGGCGAAAAAAAATAATCGAAATATGTCAGATACGATAGTTTCAAGAATTGTATGAATCGTAAAATATTAATCAAATCATGGATCAATTGTGAATCGTACGATTCACCATAAATTCACTTCTAAAATAGATTCACCTGTAGATTTGTATCGATTTTGCCTAAATTGCGAATCAAATCACGGATCGAATTGTTAATCGTAAGATTTTGATGTGTATACCTGGGAAATCCTCTTTTTAGAGGGATTCTACTTTTTTTTATTGCTACAGATTGGGTGTCAGTGTGTGATATGTAGTGTGGCCTTGTTGTGGTCTAGTATGGTTTTGTTTTGTTTCATTTCGTTCTTACTGTTTTTTTCTTATTTATTTTTTATTTTCTTTGTAGAGGATGCCTCATCCTCATTTCAGGTTGATTTTGGCTTTGTGCCTCAATAAAATCTTTTGTTGTTGATCAAATATATATACATATATACTTGGGAAAAAAATATTCAACAACTCTAAAATGATGGATTTGTTAGAAAAATGAATTATGTAGAAGTCGAAGCAGTGGTTTTGGAAATATTGAACTAGCATATGTATTAACGGAAGGATTATAATTCAAGACTTTATGCAGAAGTTAGCTTTCCTTGAGTACTTGCATCAACATTTGTCAGAAAAATATTTCTCGACACAAACTTAAAACAGATTCACAGAAGAAAAAATCATATAACACAAAAATACCTCAATTGTCTTTCCATTTGAAGCTGTGACAATGTCTCCAGGCCTCATACCCGTTCCACTTATCATATTTTCACAAGCTGCAACAATGAAATGAACCTGCAAGCTTTACTAAGTCAGTCAAAACTGAATATAAGCCATTAGATGCTTGGAAAATGAAAGTCAAGGAAAAAAAGTAGGGGGCAAAAGGAAAAGAGTAAACGCATGCAACTGAACTGATTAAGATATTTTCAAAGCAGGTCAATGTAATGACAATATCAAGCACAATAACTATGAAATTATTGACCTCTACTCCTGCAGGTTTAATTTGACCAAGAGCTTTCGCTGTACCCAGAACCGCTGCTGCTGAACCTCCCATATCAAATTTCATGAACTCAATTGAACAGCCAGGTCCTGTCTTGATGTTGTAGCCACCACTACAATTATATAAGACAAATATTTAGTAAACTATGCACATCTAGAGAGGGCAGAAGCAGAAATTAAGAACACCTATTGGAAAGGGAGAGATATCTTATGGTTATTATAATCTTACAATTCATGATTAGATTCATACAATTTGATACAAGTTTCAACCAAAACAATTCAATTCACGCTGTTGAATCTTAAATTGAGTGAATCTTATAGTTCAATTGTGATTCACTATGATTTAGTTTTGTTTAAATAATGCATGAAATGGCGTTTTTTTTCAAAATAGAAAGGAGAACAATTAATTATATCGATATACATGGTTTTATATGTAAATATATACATATATACAACTTAGTTATATTGATATTTATTTCATTTTTACACACTATTTTAAATCAATTCACAATTCAATTTGTGATTTGACAACAATGAGGCAATAAAGAACCACAAGTGAATAAACATTCCATAATTTGTATATAAGGTTCACTCCACATTCTGATTCTAAGGAGAACCTTGCTCTCTTTGCTGAACAAATGGATCAAACTAGGAATTTATCTTAATTTAGAAAATATATAAATCACCTGTCAAAAGTCAACCCTTTTCCCACCAAAGCTAACTTGGCTTTAACAGGCCCACTTGATGGCTTGTAACATAAATGGATGAAATGAGGAGGATTTGCGGAAGCGGCAGCTACACCAAGGTAGGAACCCATTTTCAGTTCTTTGCACTGGTCTACATTCAAAATTGTTGCAGAAAGAACATCGCTGTACATGGAGGCAATTTTTGAAGCCTCTTCAGCTAATACCCCTGAGAAATAAGAGTTATCCAAATATAACAAGGGTTATCTTACTCTGCAGCAAACATTAACAAAAACAATAAAGGAAGAACAGAAAATTAAGGCCCTCTAAGATACCAACATAGAGATGAAAGGTAACATAGAGAACTATGTTACATGGACTCAGGTACAAGAATCGAGAGTATTGGGTGCAGGTGCAGGTGCATGTCCAAGCGTCAGACCTTTATAATCCTAAATATTAGAATATTGAGATATGTATCCAAAAGTTGGATATGGGGGTTGATACAGAGACACATCATGGACACATATATTGCACAAAACAAATCGTATAATATTCTTAGATATGATGTTGAAAATTACGTAGAAATATTCTTGAAATTAAATATGATTTAGGAAAAATACGAAATTTCTATCTCTCATCCATGTGAGATGCTAGAAATATTTCTTAACTAGCAAATGTGGGTTTCTTCATCTTAAAACGTCGTAAAAAAATAGAGGATCCAAGTGTCTAGATTGTGTCCGTCGGACACATTACTCATACCCTTATCCTTGTCATATCCGATGTAGACTAGTTTTGGGGGAGAAATAGAAGAGTATATGTAACATGCATTTCAGGTGTAATATAAAGGGGCATTCAAGATTAAAGTTGAAAAGTAAAAAGCCGAAAAAAGAACAAGTCAATTATAAGGATGAATACAAACCAGGGGTGAGTACATTGGCGGGTGAATTTACCAGCTCTTTCCCAAAAATAATTGCAGAGCAAACATCTTCTGCGTATTTAAGCTTCTTTTCTAGCTCAGGTCCAGTTCCAAGACCAAGAATATCCACAGATTTGAGAGCTGAAGGCGGTTTCTTTGACTCTGACTTAAACCTAATATCCTCATAGGTCCCCAGCACAGTTCCTGCAACATGCAAGCCATACCACCAAATTCACCACCAATGTAAGCATCTCTAGTCCTTGCTCATTTTGTTTGTTTGTTTGTTTCTTCTTCTTCTTTTTTTTTTTTTTTTTTTTAGATTGGGTGATATTTTTTCTTATTGTAAATTGAATTTTACTTCATGTCATATTTTTTGGTGTTTATTTTTGTCATAGTAGCTATTAATTTTTAAAAAACAAATCAAAAACCAAATTCTAAAGGTCCATTCAAAGGATTCGTCTAGTGACCAGAACACGAAAACTAAAAATAGAAAAGAGGACGTCAAGAGAGCCCTATGGGCTTTCCTGATGATAGCTCATCGTGGGCTGTAACCAATATTGGGCCAGGGGAGCTAACAATTTCTTTATTGGCCCATCGAAAAATACATATAGATTAAGGGCTAGTCACACAAAAAAAAGAAAAAAAAGGTCAAAAATTTAAGCCCAATAGCTTAGGATCACATTCTACATATTAATCAATTATTTTTTCTTCTCCTAATTAGGGTTGTGCAAAATACCACCCAATCCGCTAAAACCGCACCGATCTACATCAATCCGCACCGCTCTAACGGCTAACCGTGGTTTAAACTTTAAAATTTATAACCCACCAACCAAACCACTCCACTCCGCTATAGTTAATGCATATATATTTTTTAACTTCCAATGAAATATCAATGTAAAAATGAGTGTGTGAGAGATTTAAAATAATTTATTACAAATTAGTGATTATATATATGAAACATATTATGTAAAATTACTTTGTATTATATATTTAAAAAATATTATACAAATTAGTGTTATATATTATGTAAATGTATGATAATTAGTTAGAATATTCTTCAATTCGCTGATCCGTCAAAAACTGTCCAACCGCAATTTGTCAATCCGCTAATCCACTAACCCGCCATTCGGTTTATAATTTTACTCTCAAACTGCCTGAACTGCACCATCATGCACACCCCTAATCAAAGATGATGTAACAAATACAAAAAAATTTGCCAAGGGAAACCCAACCCAAGTACTACACAGTTATACCATCTAGAAAATCTAAAAAAATAAACAAATCTGGATCAACTGTTCCCTCCCACCAACTATATGAAACTACAATAAGCCAATTCTCCAACCACACAACACCTTGATAAACTTCTTGAAAAGTTCATCGATTTCGCTCCAACCAAACAAGCCCCGTCAAGCAAAACGGCACCAATAGCCACACCTACTGCCGTCGATGTCCAATCTGAGCACCCCACCAAGCCCAAAGCATATCTGACACCCCTTTTGGTTGAATCCAAACAACCCCAAACAGTGAAAAAAATAAAACCCCACAGCCGCGAAGCCACTGGACAATGCAAGAACAAATGATCCACCGATTCTGCATCAGCACAATACATACAACATCGATTTGCTAACATATGCCCATGCCTTATCAAGTTTATCAAATTATCCAACGTGAGATTCTGCCCCAAAGTAGCTATCCACATAAAGAAAACAACCTTAGACGAAACACCCGACACCCAAACACTACCAAGGAAACACCCTACCGCACTATTCATGATACATATAACTATTTAACTCAATCTTTAAATTCATAAGTAAACTATCATATCTAAATTTAAGTTCTTGTTTTTGCATGATTAATGTAAAATTCCTTAATTTGAAATCCTTATTTATCCAAACGGACCCTAACACATAATTTGTTCCATACCCAAAAAAAAAACATAAGTACACACAATTTGCTCCATAACCAAAAAGAAAATAACAATCCACGACATTAAAAGAATAATTTGTCAAAACGCCAGTCATTGCATACAACAAAATGTAAGCAAAACTTTGGCCAAAACCAGAGTTTGAGGGTCCAGAAACTGGAACAATAATGCAGTGATATAAATTAAACTATTCTCAAATAGGTTGGTGTCTGATACAAGTTTAAACACAACCTATTATTTACTAAAAGCAAAGGTTGATACCAGCGCTCATTCTTCATCCTCTTCATCTCCATCTCCACCTGAAGCCTTCTTGGCAGCAGCCTTCTGGTTCCTTCTCTTTACCCTACCAGGGCGCCCTCCTCCCAGAGGACTTGTCAGTGAGAAATCAATGTGCTTCTGAGAGTCAACTCTCACCATGAAAGATGCGATGTTCACCACCTGCCTTCCAACCCTGCCCAACATAAGAAAATCCCAATATTATAAAACAAGTTAGTCTACAAGAAAATACACATACCCCATAGTTTGAAAAGAAAGATAATCATCTAAAAAGGATTGAACACTAGCACTATTACCAACAGGGATTGAGTTTGTTGGATGGGATTGACCAATCTTCACAATGCCCAAATCTCAGGCAAAGTTAAAGCCAAAATATTCATATTTTAAAATGCTACCCATAGGATGCTTCATAGAGGAAAACAAACAAGTTGGCCTTACTCTTCAGCAGTTTCAAGAAGACTTATGCCATTAGTGATGCAGACATGGTTTTTGTGGAGGACTTTAATTTTTCTATCCTGCCTTGGTTATTAATGTTCCCTGAAAATGCGCTATTCAGAGAAGCTTCTAACGGAAAAATTCCAGCTTTTATCCATACTTGCAGTTGGTTATGAGAAGTAACTGATTTTTAGAATCCAAACTTCCAGAGGCCAGAGCAAAAACCTCAAACAACTGAAACACTAGGTCCAAAGCCCAGTATTGGTCTCATCCTACAT